ATTATCAGGCCCCTTCGGCGGAGGCAGTTCTTTGATGAATGTCAATCACATTGCACATCTCTCAGGTGCTCTTGTTGGTGTTTTTCTAGTATGGATTCTGAGCAAGGTTCCTTCTGAACCCCCAGCACAAGGATCAAATTTTCAAAGCAAAACAAGCAGAACCCAATGAAAATTGGATATGGAAACCAAACTGATGTGCTTGTGTTGAAGGGCTTGCAGCAGTTAGTTTCCTGATTATCTTTATGTTCCATTCTTTGTTGATCATGTGTAAATTATCTTGATACTAATTGATTCACGAGAAATGATAGAGTTTTTCTTTTTATACAAGCGATATTGGGAGAGGGGGTAATCGAATCTAGGACCTCGGGTGCGAAGGGTAATACTCTTAACGAGTTGAGCTACAAGCTCCTTGTAGAGTTGGCCCACTTGGGTTTCTGGTAAATCTGAAATACCAAAAATCATGGTCCCGTCTCAACCTGAACCTGATGTGTCTAACTTGGACCTAGACGAGAGTCGGAGTGAACGAATAAGGGGAAATTCTTATGACTCATAAGTGGTCTAAATTTAAAACAAATACCATAGAAGGGGATAAGGGGATAATTATGCATTGCATTAGTGAAAACCAGCTCTATCAACACTGAAACTGGAAAATCTTGTTATGAATTTTTATGAGTTTCCTTAAGATTGGGACAATACAAGGGAGCTTGTGGCATAAGACAAGAACTAAGCAGCACCTTATGTCCTTGAATGTCAACTATATTGATGATTAATATAGGAAAGTAGCATTTGATTTTGATTTACAACAAGGAATCAGCATGCTAAAAAACAAGCAAAAAATGCTTCATGAAAAGACAAAGGTTCCCTTCACTATCTACAACATTTTATACGCTGAAATTTCTTCTGGGAGGATTATATGATTCTGTGTCACATCTAAATGAGAATTGTTCCTTCAGTTCAAGAACACAACTGTACATTGCTGTGCATACTGACCATACACACCAAGCTGCCCCTGAGATTGCTTCCGGCATATAATTGGCAATCTTTCCCCAAATTTACAAGTCTGAGACAGATTCATAGATTTTGCAGCAAGCGATGAGACGTCAAATGAAAAATCACCGTCTCTTAGCACCATTCTTCCTTTTCTAGTTGCTGAAGCTGCTGATCCTTTTTGATCACTTGTAACTGATGGTATCTGTAACAGATTGGGATGAAAGGCACTTGCAGATTTCTTATGATAAATTTTCTCTAAGCTCTCAAATGGTACCTCTTCGGTTTCAACCTGATGGGTCTTCTCTTTACTTCTCATAGCACCCATCATCCTATTTGCCTCCTTTGTTAATCCAATTGCACGCCAAGCATCAGCAACAAGCGAGATGGTAGATTTTTCTGGCTGAACACCAAACTCTTTCATAATCTGGAGTATTTCTTCAGCTTTCCATGGCAGCTTTGTTTCTCCAAATCCCCATATTAGGGTCTCAAATGTCTTCAAATTGGGAGAAATTCCATGTTCACACATCTTATCAAAAACTTTAATTGCATGCTCCATTCTGCCAGAACTGCACCATCCACTCATGATGGTTGTGAAAATCACAACGTTTGGACGAACTCCCGATTTCATCATGGCTGCTAATAGTTCTTCAGCTTTCTCCACTTCTTGAGCACGCACATAACCTTTGGCAAGAATGCTGTATGCATGCACGTCAGGTTTTATGCCAGCCTTCACCATATCATCAAAGATTTGCCTACACTTCTCCATGAATCCGGCTGTGCTCCATGCATTCATGATGGTGCTAAATGTTATCACATCAGGTTTGACCCCAAATTCTTCCATCAACTTCAGCACCTGCAAGTTAATATATGAAATTATTGTAATGATTTGTGGCAACAATTAAAATAAAACACCATTTTGGGCCATTACAAGAAGAAACAGCGAGACAACTCACCTGATCGACCCCATCTCTATCCATGGTATCAACAAAACCTTTAACCAGTGAGTTAAAGACAACGATGTTTGGATGCAGCCCAAGATCTTTTATCCTTTTCATAAACCTTAAGGCCTCCTTCAGTTTACCTTCCTTACAATACCCACTTATGATAATGCAACAAGTTCGTTCATTGGGTTGCACTTTGTTGTTCTGCATCTCTAGAATCATTCCTTCTGCCTTACTCGTCTCTCCATTTTGAGCATATGCTGTTGCTAAAGTGTTGTAGGTAACGGCATCAGGTCGCATTCCAGAAGTTACCATCTTATGCACCACATTCCATGCCTCTGTAATGTTCTTCTTCTTACACCATGCTCTGACTAGAACATTAAAAGTCCTTATATTTGGTTTCACATTTTCCTCTTGGGACATCATCTCAAGCAGTTGTAAAGAATCTTCAGGCTTACCAGAAATCCCATACCCTTTGATCAATGTGTTATAAGTGCTGGTAGTGGGTTTTATTCCACTCTCCTTCATCTTCCTTAACGTTTCCATGGCTTTCTCTACATTCCCAGATTCCGAGAAAGCATTTATAACAGCATTGAAAAATATTAAATCAGGATTCATTCCATTCTCTTCCACCTGTGATATAACATAAGGAATGGACTCAAAGCGCTTCTGGATGGTCAAGGCAGCTAGGAGGGTTGTGTATGATACCAGTGAAGCCCTGTGTCCCCCTTCAATTAAACCATTAAAAAGGGACTGGGCTTCCTGAGGTCTCCCTCTCTCTATCAAAATGTTCATTAGCCTAGTTCTCGAACGCACAATTCGACAATTCTCTTTGGCCATGCAGATAGAACAATGGGATTGCCTCATTGAGCCATTAGGCTTTGAAATTAGACGCAAATGGTTCTTATCATCAGGGTGATTTCCCTGTGGGGTTTAAAATAAATACCAAAAAGAACATAAATTTTTTTACCCAAAAAAAAAAACTTTCTTTAAAGTTCACTGAAACAAATAAAGCAAGGAAATTCTCAGGCTTGTCAAAGTACACACCAGAAGCAGAAGCGGTACAATTAATGCAGAGCACAATCAAAACATTGAACTAATGACACAATACCTTGATGGGTAATGCTTGAACCCGTCCATTTGCAGTAGTGGCAGTTGCTTCTTCGTTTTTGTTAGTTGTTCTTAAAAAAGCCTTCCCTTTGCCTGATTCTCCCATATGGGTATGGCTCTGTCAACTTGTCACCGAGTTTGAGTGGGTCTCTAACTTCGCACTGAATACACAGCAAAACCAGTTCATGAATCTTTTCTCATTTTCAAACTTTTTTGGGTCCCTATGGAGAACACAATGATACACCAGAAAATCAACTTCGGTTCTTCATGCTCAAGCAACTTGAACATCAACGAAAAAGTTCAATCGCAATGTTTACAAATATCAAAAGCAACCCAACAAATATATTGTTTACTACCAACCAATTCTGTGAAACAGTTGTAATCTTTGCAGACATTCAAGCTATTGGTAAGCTAGAAACCCAAGAAACAACATTTAGGAGCTAGAAACAAGCTTGTACCTTTTGGCGTTAGATTGCTGACATTTGCAGTCACTGAGAGAGAGAGAGAGAGAGAGAGAGAGAAAGAGATAGACACTGAATATGCTTGTAGACTAATGAGGCATGGAGACCCACCAAAGGGAACATATAATATAATCTGATCTCAGAATGGGTGAGAGACATAGGTGATGGGATAAGGAGGAAAAGTGAGGCTCTGAATTTGTTTCAGGAAATTGGTTCTTGGTTTTCCTTTTTCTTTTTCTTTTTTTGGTTTTCCTTTATTTGTTTATTTTGGTCATAAGCTTTTCTTTTTTAGTTGGGAGTTTCACTAAAACATCTAAAATAGAGGCTGAAATTATAAAAAAACTCAACATCCAAAACACTTTATAAACACACTCAAAACCCATCATTACACACACTCAAAACTCATTTATAAACACACCCAAAAAATATACAATTGTTGATTTTGGATGTGTTTCTATGTTTAAATAGTACTTGGATTTTTTTATAAATACATGTCTAGAATTGAGTTTATTTATAAATTTGTATTTTTAGTTCCACCATCATGAAAATACATTTATTCCGGAAAAAGAAAAAAAAAACAATCGTGAAATGAAAACATATTTTCAAATTTAATGCATTTCTATTTAATTCTTTTTCTGCTGGAAATAAGTGCTTTTAGTGATATTTCTTTTGTGACAAATATAATTGACAAACCAACCAGTGGGTGATGACTATTAGTCTATCACCACCATCACCATTGCAATCTGGATATTTGCACCAAGGCAAATTTGCCAGGTTGAGAATGGTTGGATAGCCATCAGTATTGTGACGTTCTGTACAATAACGTCACGTGGTGTTATAATTTGGTTATACAATAAATTTATATTTTAGTATATAAATATCAATAAATATAGACGATACATTTGGGTCGTTAATAGTAATGGATGTTCTAGATTCTATTTATAAAGATAAAAGATTAAAAAAACTGTTATTGACACTTCAAAATATAATCTCACCCTCACTATAGAGGACGACTCTGATTTGATAATAAGATCAGGTTGGGGCAAAATTTTGGATTAGCTTAGACCTGTGATCAAACCCATTTAATCTATTTTCAGGAGTCATTTTATGGTGAGAGTATTATATATGGACAATAAATGTGGATCTTCATATTAGCCGTACGATTTATCTAAATAGTAAATTCACATAAGTTTAATGAAATAATCATATAACTAATATTAAAGTCCACATAAGACCCACTATAAAATTTCTCCTATTTGCAGCGGGTTATGGGCCGGATCACCACACATGGGTCCTAGCTCTTAAGCCTACTTATGGCCCTAACGGGAAAGGACGTTTTTACCCCTAATGGCAAAATTTTCGTTTCTCTTCAGATTTCTAGGAAAATGACTTTCTGCCGCAAAGACGAATTCCCGGAAATTACAAAAAATTAGAGAGAAATTGTGATTCTTCTTTCTTCGTCATTTCCACTTATCATTAATCGGAAAGGGAGAAAAAAAAAAAAAAAAAAAAAAAAGCACTGTGATTAAAAGTTGAGAACTTTTAGATTAGAGATTCATCTGTATATTCAACCCTGCCAAAAGGGGCACGTAAACACTCAGAATCCATTAATATTTTAATAATTCTCTGAATTTTTTTCTTCTGAAGCCTGTATCTGGTGGGAAATGTTTAGGTTGTGGAAATGGTACCAGAATTCCTTAGCTGTTCATCCAATTAAGACGCAGGTCATCAGCTCTGGTTTGATTTGGGGGTTTGGTGATATAGCTGCCCAGACCATCACTCACTCCACGGCCAAGGCCCAACGTCAAATTCAAACTCAGGTAAAAATACCCATTTCCGGAATTGTTTCTGTTCTCAAATTTATGTCAACATTTATGCATTTCTTGCTCTTATTCACGGTTTGCCCAAATGGGTCTTGATTATTTTCTCCTGCATTTCATCTTTTGACCCTTGTTCTTGTGTTTATGGAACTGGTTTCTTGTGATTATGTGTTGTGTTTATGCCTTTGCAGCATTGGCATGAATTTGAAAGAATTTATTTATCTTTAAAGCTGCACACTTTGTTGCTTAATGAATGGCTTGATGGGGAACCAAGCAGAACTGGTTCCTCATGTTTAGGGAATATGTTCTGTAGCTGCATTTTCATATATCTCATGATTTTGAGCATCATATATTTTGGAGGGGATATTAAACTACCAATTATTTTTCTTAGTTTACATGACATTGGGGTAACATGGTGATGTTCTTAAAGGATCCTTCAGTCATATGCACCAAACACTTTCTAAAATGAAGTCATGTTTGATGCTCTGCCGTTTCTGGGGCTCCCTTCTGTTGTTATTAAGCCCAACTCACCTAGTGCATGGAGTTCCCCAATTTTGGGCTATATTTTCTTCTCAATATTTGTCCATATATGAGATAAATATTGACATAATTTTTTTTTGGAATTTCTGAATACTTAGTTTTATAATACATGATGAGACCTGTTTTTGCAAGACATTTCCAGCACACATATTGTTAATTACCTTAATATGGTTATAGAATAATTTATCTATCTTCATCTTCAGGGTGAAGATGAAGATGAAGAGTTAAAGATCAATTGGAGAAGAGTGTGTACAACCAGCTTGTTTGGATTTGGGTTTGTTGGGCCTGTTGGTCACCTCTGGTAAGCATTTTTTTTGGGGGGTGAAAAATTGTACATTCTGAATATGCGGACATGTAATTTTTTAGGGTTATTGATCTGGTTCCCACATCAAAGGGTGATCTAGAATTTTACAATATAAAGGAACCACTAATCATGGGCATTTGAGGCTCCTCTTCCCTTTAGTTTGACAGAGATGGATGGGCTGATTTGCATTCCCCAGTTTATGAGTTTGGTTTTCATTATCCTTTTGCAGGTATGAGGGTTTGGACCGATATATAAGGTCAAGGCTTCTTCTGCAACCAAATTCATTTCGTTTTGTTGCTTCTAAAGTTGCAATTGATGGGTTTCTTTTTGGGCCATTGGATTTACTTGTGTTTTTCACCTACATGGGGTTTTCTGCTGGAAAGAGCGTTCCTCAAATCAAGGAAGATGTGAAAAGGGATTTTCTTCCAGCCTTTGTTCTGGAAGGAGGGATATGGCCGATTGTGCAAGTAGTGAATTTCCGGTTTATACCTGTGAGGTATCAGCTCCTCTATGTCAACTTCTTCTGCTTGTTAGATAGCAGTTTTTTGTCATGGCTTGAGCAACAAGAAGATGCTCCATGGAAGCAATGGTTGAAATCTTTAGTATATTTTAACGAACAAAAAGATGAAGGTGGGTGATTGCCCTTTAACTACAGTTTCAGCTTTCATTCCAGGCCTTGCTGATTATAGTGGATCATACGTCGGAGAAAGTAAAACGGTTGAGTGAGAAAACTGAGGTACCAACTTAGTTTTTCAAAGTTGGGATTTTGGAAGTGATGGATTTGCTCTCAAGCTTATCCAGTTTTCACGTACAATACAAGTTTTCATGGATTTGTATCCTCAATCCATGTTTCAATAATGATTCTATCAATTTCCTTTGCTACAAATTGTAGATCTTGCTGGTCTTGCATCAATTATGTTTTACCATCTTACCCTCTGTAAATATTCTCCTGTTGGTAAATACTGGAAAGGAATTTTTATCGGAAATGAGATTTGAAATCTGATCTTTTCTCATATTCATTCTGTGATTTTTATTGGAAATGAGATTTGATCTGTGATCCTTAAGAGATTTGATTGTTAGCATGTTCCATAAAGTCGGAAATGAGATTCAATCTGTTCCTTGCTAATGGCAAAAGTACCTCTTCTTAATACACAGTTCTTTACACGAGGTCCTTTTTGGTGAAAAATTCTCAACTCTCGACAGTTAACAGATATGAACAAGCAAAGCCACTGTATCAAACCCAGTAAAAAAGAGGCTACTATTTAATTATTTACCAAAAAAGGCAATTAAAAAATGGAATATATATATCACAAAATCCAATAAAAAATAATTCCCCAAAAACAAGCTTTGGTGTCTCAACTTCAGAATGTTTGCTTGGCCTCGCTGCTGGAGCCAGAAGGGTTAAGACCATACTCACTGGTAGTTCCACTGTACATACTGATGCCATACTCTTCCTTGTATTGCTGGGAACTGTAATATGAATTCCCCAAGCTATTATGTAATGTGCTGTTTCCTGGTGTCATTCCTTCACGAAGATCCGTCAATGAAGCAACTCCTTCTAAAGCGTGGACTACCTGCTCGGTTTGGAATAAGCGTAAAGATTTTTAGTTAATTAGCTAAAGCGTTGGTGCTGTGTTATCTCATTGAGCAGGTAGCTAAATCATTGATTGTGTTTTGGGAGTTCAGGATTCGTTTTTCATTCAGTTAACAAAAAATATAACAAGGAATTACCTGGCTCATTCGTGGTCGAAGCCATGCTGAATGCCGTACACAAGCAGCGGCACAAGCAACCATTCTAGCCATCTCATTGTTGTTGTAATTTCTCTCCAATCTTGGGTCAACAAGAGCATCAAAGTCACCATCTTCCAGGGCTTGAGTGAGCAATGGCCTGGCCTAGAATGCCAAAAAAAGAGAAGAAAAAGAAAACTCAGTCATCTACTCACTCAAATCATACAATCTGAGGCGTTCAAAGCAGAAACTATGGTCAGGCTCCTTGCAGAAATGCTGAACTTGAACTATGTTATGTGCATGTTGGTTTAGCAGCACATATCTCATTCTTAAGAAAGAAGACTTTAAGATCGCATCCCATTGCACAGTTTATGCCTACTGATTAATGAAAAATAAGGTCAGGAAAATGGCACAAAATGAAGCAGTGATGCAAGAGAACTCACCCACTGAACCAGGCCCTTGTTCCTCATGGATTCGATTGTACTGATAGGCGGTCGTCCAGTTATAAGTTCTAGAAGTACAACACCGTATGAATACACATCTGATTTGTCTGTCACCTTACCGCTCGATGCGTACTCTGGAGCCAGGTACCTGTATATGTTCATGTACAGAACAATTAATTAAGTTTGTTTCATTCTACAAGGCTAAGTTTATTGCCAAGCACAGACTAACAAGCAAAGCAAAAGTGAGTACGTGGTATGAATTTGGAGTTGTAGTAACAAGAATATCATGTTCTTACCCAAATGTTCCCACAACTCGAGTGGAAAAGTGAGACATGTGAATGTTGGTATCAGAGAAAGATTTGGCCAGTCCAAAGTCAGAAACCTGAACATAAATCTCAACTTCAGAAACCTCAACATGAACCTGAACATAATAAGTACGGTTAATATTTGGTCCTACCTTTGCTTCAAACTTATCATCCAGAAGAATATTAGATGCCTTGATATCACGATGAATGATTTTCGGATTGCCTGCAGCCACAAATGATGTTCAATTACCATTAAACTTTAATGTCAACATTCTCAAGAAAAAGATGTGCAAAATTAAAACTTCAAGAGATATGTGAAAGGAACTCACAATCTTCATGAAGATATGCTAGTCCTTTTGCAGACCCAGTAGCAATTATCAATCTGGTTTCCCACTCCAGAACAGACTGCCCTTCTCCTGCAATGCAGCAATTATCAATCATACTGCATATCTAATCAATCACTCACAATAGGGCTAGTAACTAATTCTTGAAAACTACCAGCATGGACTTGATTACCATGTAAGTGGAATTCCAAGGTGGTGTTTGGAACAAACTCATACACAAGCAACCTCTCCGCCCCGGTAATGCAGTACCCAACCAAGGAAACTAGATGCTTGTGATGAACCCGGCTAATGATGTCAACCTCAGCCTGAAATTCTCGCTCCCCTTGCCGGCTTCCAGTCATCAACTGCTTCACTGCAACTTCTTTGCCACTTGGAAGCACACCCTTGTGGACATACCCGAAACCGCCTTGCCCAAGAAGGTTGGCTTCTGAAAAGCCATTGGTGGCCACCACCAATTGATCATATGTGAAAATCCCATTTGAGACATCTGAGGGAAAACCAGCTGGCCTTTGAGTTTGAGGTGGATATGGGATCTCAGACCGGGATATGATTGAAGCAGAACCAGCAGTGCGGCTCATGGGAGATTGCGGAACAGAGGTTCTAGATAGCACCCTGATAACATGGACCCCTGGTGAAGGAACAGCATAACAATCATCTGCCAATGCAACCAAAGCCACAGAGTACATTAGCAAATTTCATCAATCACATACAATCCTATAAAGACGTTTGATTTTCTAAATTGGACATGAAAATATGTAGCAATGAATCTTGTGATCACCTTTTGGGCAAAAGGATGGTGTTTTATGATGATCCTCCAAAAGGGCACTGTTGTTTTTACTCCTCCTACGTTTATAACCAAGAAATATAATGGCAAGCAGAAGCACAATGGCAACAAGTCCACCAATGACACATGATCCAGCTATGAGAGCTGTGCTCATATTTGGTCTTGGGTTGTGAACTTGCAAGGTGGCTGGCAGTGAGGAAGATAATGGTGGATGAAGCATTAATTGGGGTGGCATTGGCAATGTTGTTGGAGGTAGGTTTGTAGTTTTGGTTTTGCTAGATGAGGGTGGCTGCAGGGTGCTGGTCAATGTGGGCGGCAGCGGCAGAGTACTAGGGGGCAATGCAGGTGGGGGAGAGCGGTGGCTTGGACTCGCTAAAGGCGGTGTCTGAGTTGCTGGTGGCATAGTTGTTGCCAATGTAGGTGGTGGGGGAGGGGTTGATGGGGTTGTTGGAGGGGAAACATGTAGTGGTGGTGGTGGTGTTGGTAATGGTGATGGCGGGTTTGGAGGTGGCGGTAGAGAAGGTTTGGATGGCAATGGAGTTTTTGGTGGTGAAGAAGGTGGAGGTGGAGAGGTGACTACTGAAGGTGGAGGTGGTGGTGGAGTGAAAGTTGTTGGTGGCAACAGAGCCGGCAATGGTGGAAGCTGAGGCGGTGGAGATGTTACAGGAGGCGGTAGCGGTGAGGACACAGGAGGGACAGAGTTGGGTATAGGTGGCAGGGTAGGAGGAGTAGTGGGTAAAAAAGGTGGGGATGGGAATGGTGCTATCTGTGGCAATGGTGGCAGCAACAACGGAGGCAATGGGGGCGGCAATGACGGTGACAATAGGGGCGGCAACGATGGTTGCAATGGCAGTGGCAATGGTGGGGTGGTTACTGGAGAAGCAGCTGGAGGCAGTGACCATGGTGGTGGTGAAGACATTGTTGGTTGTGAAGTAAGATTTTGGTTGAGATGTATAAACAATTAACAGGGGGTCTCAGAATATTTAGCAACAAAATTCGGCGGTAGATATAAATTATAATATTAGATAGACAGGACATAATTGAGCAGAGCCCGTGAACGACATTTTATAATTTTCTAAACTTCTTTTCTAACTAACCTTTGCTTATTTTATTTATCTAATGTTGAATGGGGCAGTGACCTGTGATCATGTGATCAGTAAGACAGTAACTAGTTGTCGCTGTTGTTGGAAGTGGAAATCCAGTTCACCTTACACTGTCTCACTAGGCCTGTAGGCCACTACAAACGTTTCATTGTCTGATATGGGTGCTAAGAGCAGATATTTGGGTCTATGGAGGCTCAAAAAACATTCGTAAACCGGAATGCCATCGTAACGATACGATATCCCAAATCAGTCGCACATTGCAACTTTTCCACGTGACAATGCCTAATTGACTTGAAATACCTGTTGCCTGGAGAAGATGGAAGTTCTTCACTGTGGATGCTCCTGATGCAAGAGCAATCATAAAAGTTATGAGGCTCTAGAACTCACCCATTCGGAGTTTCTCTTTTTGTTCTCTTTTCAACTTCTCAAGGTCACAATACAGATTGAACAAAACTGTTCAAATTAGTGGAGGGGGACCACAAACATCACATTGACGCATACAAGTTGATTGATTTTAATTGTTGGCAGTGTTCTACTAGGAGATGCTCCAATTAAATAGTAAAAAGATACAGAGAAAGATGTAAAATTTGGGTAGATGACAGCAATGCTTGGTGCCCACAATGTAAGTCTCAAGAGTAGTAGGATCCTGTCTTCTTCTTGGAGTATCCTTTTTTTTTTTTTTTGGGAGGTGGAGGGTAGGCTCTTCTTGGAGTATTTGGTCCAAGGACTGATAATCTTGTTTTTCTTGGGTTGAAAAATGAAGCTTGTGATTGAACTCCCATCCTCTGTTGCAAACTGCAAAATCCAACTTGGTTTTCACAAATTATCGTCAGGTGGTTGATTTGATCATGACTGATGACCTTCCTCTATGGTGGTTGATTTTCCTGTATGCCAATAGGAACCCTTTTGGTTGATAGGAACAGAACAGAGGATTTGCTTACATTTCCTCTCATCATCAAATGGACCGCTGTAACAGATGCTACGAAAACCCAGCACATTTCATATCATTCAACCTGTCAGATCACCCGGCTCTTCGATAACCAGCAATCAACAGATCATAAGTTGATTTTGTAAGTTCATAAGAACCCTTCAGACGTTCCAAAAACAGCTCCAGCCTATCATAAGCCGAGCACCTGAAGTACGAGCAGATTACCTTTTCAACAACATCATGATGTTTAAATGACATTCCTTGTTTCAGCATCCTCCCCACAGAGTACTCCACATCATCCAATCTATCCAACATAGCATTCAACCTTATAATCCCACAGTGGACCAGCAACAAAACTTCTGAGACTTGATTGGTCTCCATTAAATCTACAAGTAGCTCCTCCAATTTCTCCACCATCCCAAGTTCAATATACAACCCCACAACCATCTCAGCCATCTTCTCATTGATCTTCCACCCAGCATCCAACACTATCTTCATAAACTCTTTAACTTGATCAAAGCTCCTCCTCTTACAAAGCCCTTCCAGCATATTCTCCAATATGGGCAAGTTGGGCATGAGCCCTGATAATACCATTTCTTCATAGAACCAATCAGCCAACTTGAAATTGTTCGATTTGATGCAACCGGAAATCAGAGTTTGATAGGTTTGAACATCAGAGCTGAATCCAGCAGCCTTCTTGGCAGAGTACCAAGCTTGCACAGAATCAGCTTTGCCCAACTTTGAGAATGCAGACATGAATGCATCATAAGTGTCAGAATTGGGTTTAAATCCCTCCGAGCTCTCCATTATCTCAAATAGGCTGAAAGCTGTCGACACATTACCTGAAGAGAAGCAGGCATGCACAAGGGAATTGAAAATAGCAGAAGTGGGTTTGATTCCATTAGCCTCCATAGAAGTAAAGACTTGCATTGCAAGTGGGAGATTCTGAATTTTCCCACACAGAGATATCAGCTCAGAGTACCGATCATGATCTTTCTCATTCTCCTCAAGCAAGTTCTCCAATTTCCACTCCAAAACCTGACTAACCAAACAATGTGCATACATATATAAGCAGAAATTGGTTTAAATCTTCAACCAACAAAAAAAAACAAACAAATGATACAATTACATTAATCAACTTTAATCTTTTAAATATATAATGGGCATTCCATCTCAATTTCTTTTCTCACTAAAACAACATAAATAATTTAATTTCTATTAGTTTCTCAGCAACCAAACAGAGGGTGAGGAAATATAAAAACTTGTAAAGAATCTAACTTTGAGCTACAACTATCGCAATTGATGGGTGATTATTACCAAGCGAGATTTATCAGGAGAGGAAGAAGACGCGAGAGAAGTGAGGAGGGTTTCCCAGGAAAAATCAGAGCTTTGGAGGGCAGAGAATTCCTCGGAACCAAGTATGCTTTTGATGCGTGAATTGGGTTCCTCAACCAACCTCTGAAGCAAACTCGTTTGGTTACTCAACCATCGCTGAGAGCTACTAGAAATTGCCAAAGCCTTGGGTTGTAAACTCCTCCTCGCTGCTGACAAAACTCGGCAAACTAATGCCATGGTTCTGTTCTTAGTTCCTAGTTCCTACTCTACTGAAGGCAGAAGCAAACCCATCTCCGATAAGCACCAGAGAGGTGAAGGCAGGCCCAGGCCCAGGTCCAGGTCCAGGTCAAAGCCCTATCTTTCTCTTCCCTTAAAGAGAAAAAGAAAATCCTCATTTTTCATCTCTTTCTTCAATTTTACAATTAATCAAGTCGCGTTAAGTTATGGGTTTTGTTTGGTAAGTGACATTCTGGTTTCTAAGGATTTTGATACAAGCTAAAATGAAAAAATTCAAGTAGAAAAGTTTCTGTACAATAAAAATGTAGTACTTATTCTGCCCAATGTGCCTGCTTAAAAATGAATCACATACACGAATTTTACACTCATGGTACATTGAAAGCTTCAGAAACTTGGGGGGTGGTGGTTGGGGTGCACAACAGAAACAATGTTCAGGTTTTACAACATAAGAAAGAAAGAAAAAAACATTTAAAGAAAAAACCCCACTCACCCCCTATGCAATCTCATTGTAGATTGATCTACAGCTACAAAATCACACACCCTCTCTCTCTCTCTCTCTCTCTCTCTCTTCCTTTTGTCTCCTGAGGAAACTAATCACTTGTGATCTACTTCCAGCTAAGGATTTACCTTGATGTACTCATGGCATGCCGAATTTGGACAAGGCAGATTGGAACACGGATGAAAAGGGCTGGGTTGCACTTTGATCATCGGCTTTAATCTTTATTTGAGCTTTGGCGGATGATGTGTTGACTATACACTCTACCAAAAATGTGGAAGATTCTTCTGCCTTTTGTGCAAAGAAGAAAAACTTGAAGTTGGGGGATTGGCCACCGGATGCAATGCAGTGAATGGCTTGGCCTTGCATATGCCGCAGGAGTGCTTGAGGCGTTGTCAATGCTGCAACTCCTTCAGGCGTAATTGAATACTCCTGCACCAAATTATAGATGCCATTTGTAAACAAAAAATAAAAAACAACATTGAAATAAATGCTGATACAAACATTATGCAGGCCAAATATGGAATACCTGTGATAACGATATCGGCAGTTGGCGCCATTTCTGCTGAAAAGTGGTTGGATCCAGAACAGCTTTTGGGTTAAGCTTCAAAGGAGGAGGTGAAGGTGAAGGCGCAGGTGCAGCAGGTAGACCCAAGCCAAGTAGATCATCAATTGCAAAGCCAGACTGTGGAGCATTTCCTGGCACAGAGGGATTTGAAATCGCCACCTCTGACATTTGAGAAGTGGGAACAGACACTGACGAAGCATCATATGAAGGAGCACTATATGCAGAAGAATTGTTATTGAGACCTCTTGTCTCTTCCTTCTCCGAGGTACTTAAAAGAAGATCCTTATCATTTGCCTCAACTCTATGAGCTTGAGCAACAGTATCTGCAGATTCTGTCCCAATAGATAAATTTCCAATTTCATCTGAAAACTCAAAGGGCCCTCTGTGTTCCTTATAAGTAAACATGTACGATGGCTGCAAGCATTTCAAAATGTCAGTCTGTTTGTGGCCTGCCTTCAACAAAACTTTTAATACGTTGTAAAAAAGCCAAAATACCACCATCAATTAAATAAAATGAGCAACGTATGATGAAAACTTATATTCATACATGTATTGTATGCGTTCGCCTATCCTGATACCCAGGAAAGGGACAGGAAGTGTTGTTTTTTTTTAATCTGAAACCATTTACAAGGGAGGAGAATTGTTACTACCTGCTGATATACAACAGACAAACTGTTAAATTCATCAAATATCCGATCTTTGATTTCACTGCTCTGGGTATCAGCAAAGACAGAAACAGCTTGCTTTGGAGGGTTCACCACTTGTTCTGCTGTACTTATGTTATATTGCAAAAGCCTGTAGTAGAATAAGGCTCTATCATGAACATCCTGCAACCAACTAAAAGTTTATTGAACGTTCCTAAACAAAATACAACAAACTTTCTCGCGAAAAGAAAACAAACGTACATATGGAATACTTTAAAGTTAACTGTATAAAATAACAACAAAACCCAACAACATGCACCTGGTGAAAATCAGCAAGACCTGCAGCCAGTGCAGCTCCCAAGGATTTCTGAGTCTCAGGTGGCCTCTTAAAAAAGCACTTCATCACTGCTGTGAGTAGATGTAAGCGAACCTGTGCAATGAAACCGTCCCATCACTCAAATCAGAGGTTCAATTGAGGAATTTTTACCATTAGAGGTTCAAAAGCATATCTGTAGCTGCAAAATGCAAGAAGACCACAAAGATCCTATAATCCCAAAGATCATACATATCCACAAAGATCCCACCTTATGTGCATTTAAATATATACCAACACTCAACCCTTGTTTTTTATGAATTTCCAAGCAGTAGGATTTGAAACCACATTGGTCGTTCCATAGAGACTGCAATGCTACTTTTTGTTTTAATACAAAACAGGAATATTCTGAGTAATTTAGAACCAAAAAGAGGCCAACCAGGATATGGATCTTCATCAAACAAGTGAATAAACACTTCACCTGAACAAAATAATAACTTAAATATCTTGTTTTTAATACATGAAGTGAAGACATTGACCAATAAACCGTGGCTCATAAATATTTTCTTTAGAAAAAAAAAAGGTAAAAAGAAGGCGTAATAAAGAGGGAACAGAATCACAACTTAATAAATTACCTCAGCCGAATGCTCATCCTCCCAATTTTCTATCAAACTCTCTAAAATATAAGGTGCGTCGTGCATTTCCTGAGAATACTCCCCAAGCATCCATATAAGAGCTGCCTTGGCCTTGGGTTCTTGAACGTTTTTGCTGCTGATGTTCCCAACAACTGCAATGCAATCATGACTCCATTGTGGATATTTCCTCAGCAGATCTTTTACAAGAACCTGTATAAAGGAACTCCAAAATTGAGGGAATCTGGCAAGCTATCTGGGTATATAAAATTAATCATGTTATTTCTTTGCTTTTATTTTCATTTCTTCTTTTATAAATATATTTAACTGAACTCTACTATCTCTTAGCCATTTTAATATATCATTCAGGAATGTGCCACAGTTAACTGGTGCACTTAGATTTACCGTTATAAGTACCACACAGGATTCAAACATGATGATTTACCAGAGCTTCAGCAGTTACATAGTCCTTTTCCATCTCCAGGAATTGAAGAAGCCGATCAACAATTGCATTCACATCATACTGTTGTAGAGCTATTTTCCCAACTGCACGGATTGACTCTCTTGCAATGGGAATATCAACATTTGCAGCATATTCACATAATTCCGTCACTGAAATGAAACGAAGAAGGTCATGCATCAATCATACTTGAAAGCTAACAAGAATAACAGTACCTGTGACCAAAGAGTGGGTCACCACAAACAAGGCGGATTTTACCATGTCACACACAGATGCACAAACAGACAATTGCTCGAGAATCTGTAATTAATTTCAGGTGGTGTTTTCTTACCAATTTCATAAGTGTTGCTCTCATTTGCCACTGCAGTCAACATCTCAAGCTTCAACTTTTTAACATAAGATGGCTCATTGTACTGGCAATAGAAGTGTTTATAGTCTGAAGAAAATATGAATGGTGCACGAGTCACCAAAAGATGCAGGTGGCTTAGAACTGCATAAGATTGCTCTGGACTTCCCGAACTCACTAAGGTCAGGAGAGGAGCTTTAATGCGTTCATATACCTAGCCAGTGAAAATAAAACAAAGCTTTCGTTAGAGAAGTGGTTCTCATAAAAATAGCATGAGTAAAACAAGATGGGGCAAAATGCAACACTGGCATAGAAGTCAAAACCATCAGATCCTGTAAGCATATTTCTTTTTCAAACTAGAATTAGTTTGTATACTACAATGATTAATTTTCATCTAATAAAAAAAAACAAGGAATGTGGAGACTAACAGCGAAAAGTTCTTCTATATATGGTAGCTCCTATATGATTATGCAACTACAAGAGGTTTCCCTTTGTAACACATAAAAAGCTACATTTCTACCTACTTTTTAAGTTCCAAATTCAAAAGAAAAAAGGAAGCGAATTTATTTATGCCTACCTGCTGATGAACATCAGTCATTGACAGAGTCAATTGAAGAAATACTTTTGTGGTTGCTAAGACAACAGCACCATTTGCATGCTGAAGTCTATCCTCGAGCAGATTCATGACATCAAATATCTCATTGCTATCTGCAGGTACATATTTACCTACCAACTCAAGTACAAGACATTGTGCCCATTCACTAAACTCCCTGATCCTGCATAAGAGAACATGCACCAAACTCAACTGCTGTTTTCTTGACACTAATTCAGTTGAATGGAATTGACATTAATTTCATTTTGAAGAATAATGGCCCCAGGTGAGCACCAACCCCATATTACTTGGGCTTTCTACTTATGCGCTATGTGGCATGGGGAAGACCCACCATTAGATAAATTAAATTCACTACGACATCATGATGCAGAATCCATATGGAAGAGAGAGAGAGGAAGTAACAGCTGGTTTCAGTATTCACGATAATTCAATTATGTAGGAAGAGCTCCATGGGCAAATTATAAAGAGAAATCCCATATCACATTTCCAAATCATATCCTAAATCACATCAAATTCCCCAATCAAAAGGTATTATTTTTTCATCACTTTAACCACAGCATTAATTTTGTCACGCTTTTATTTTATTTCACCTATTTGAGATTTTGATTTAAATTTACAACCATGCTCAGATTCCATGTCATAGTGTGCAAGTCACTACATAATCAAAAAAGTTCTTAGAAAGTAACGTGCCCAATATTCTGACCATCTAAACTTGACCACAAGATCAGTAGAAAGTGCTTCTCATAACACTAAACCAATTAAGATTTAACTTTCACGAAATTGTGGATCCCAGAGACAAGATGCAGAATTAGTTTAATGGTCAGTTCATGGAGAACCTACCTATTCAAAAGATAATATATAACTGGCTTGCTGAGCAAAATTTCTCTCTCCCTGGATACTTCCTCAGACGTGCTTCCTTCTAAGCTCCAAATCTCTTGTAAGGCAGACAAACAATTTGCAACCACCTGAGAATATAAGAATATGAGAGTGCCTAACTAAAAGAACATACGAAAACTTCCTGAACATCTGTAATGTTATAAAATGGAGAAAACTTTGAGGCAAAATTTAAGAAACTAGAATATAGAAATAATCTGAAATAGTGTTTAGCAACAATCACCTGTGTATCACGGTCATTAAGCAACAAATGCTTAAGCATTGCTGGGAAATCTGCATCAACACAAGTTGAAGCTGATATATGATATAATTTGAGAACCCCCATAACTGCTATCATCCTCACATAGCTATTATTGTCCTTCAAACCTGCACCCAAGGGCCCCACCAAATACTCCACCAGGTTTGCCACCCGTAGCGAACACAAGCTCCTCAATGCAAGTCCTCGGATCATCGGGTCCGCATCCTTGCAATCTCTTTGAAGAAAATTGATCGTCAGAAGCGCAAGGTCCGGATTGACCTTTGCATAATTCCCAACGTAGAGATAACACATTTTCTTCAAAACGATATCCGATGTTGCTGAACACATGACCATCTCGCCAAAGACAGAAGAGACATCAATGCCGATTGTCATGTAAGAGATAACCTTCTTGAATAGCTCCCGCTTTGAATCATCTACTCCCGGAGCCCGGCTGCCTGCTAGATTCCGGAGCTGTGATTTCACATCGGCAACTTCGCCTTTTCTGCTTGGAAAGCAACATTTGAGCTCAGATTCAAAGTACAAGTAATTGATTAACGGACATGCATGTTGCTAGTCAGATTAAACCATGCAACGTCTGATTCTGGGCAAATGCTGAAACCCTTGTGGTATATCCTGCTTTCTAAGTTCAAATAAAGTTTTCCAAGATGCACCAAAATCAGAGCAGCATAAGCCATAAATATTATCAATGAATGTGAATTCAGCTGTGCTTGGTTTCTTGTAAGAAGTTAATTAATTCAACCTCTTTTGCACAGTTCCTCAGTAACCAAATTAACAGATAGAGTGATTGTTAGCATTTGGATGATCGATGCATATGGGCTGGCACATTCACTTATTTCTGAATAGGAGTAAAAACACGCATGCTTTCGAACCACTAAAAACTAGTCCCATTGTAAACTCACTAATCGAAATTCCTCTGTTGTTTGTCATTTTCTATCAACAACCTTTCTCGGAAACCAAACAGGAATTAGGAGGGACTAGGGTTTAGAGAGAGAGAGAGAATCTGGACTTACCCGGAAGGCTGAGACGGTGACGAAGATCGCTGAGACTGTGCCGGAGGAGCCATGACCAATCGGAATTGAAGTCAGCCGCGGCTATGGGAGTGTACAGTGCGTTCGGAGATCTAACCGAGGACGCAGAGTTGGGCAGTAAATCTCAGAAATAAAGTTGAAAACTTTGAGGATGAATCTTCCACCTTCACTCTGGTGAGAGAAACTTTTTCTTCACGACGATCTTGACGTGGCTAGATCAGACTGCTTCTCTGCATATTCTCGCGTCTCCCGTTCTCAACTGTGTCCGGCTTTCCTTCTTCTCTTTTAGCTTTTCTGGTGGTCCAAAACTGGAGGCTTGAGGCCCAAACAACAATAAAAACAAAAGACTTAGCCCAATGGGCATATACCAAAGACTATTGGCCTTGCTAGCCCAACAATTTCATATAAAACAACCGAATTACATTTTTTTTTTATAGAGAATACACATTTTCTTTTTTCATTCAATGGATTCCAACTTTGAATATTTGCAAAAAAATTCCACTTCGATTTTTTTAGTTTATTTTGACAAATTGATTCTTATTGTTTGATATCCTCGTAATTCAGTGTCACATTACAAATTATGTCAAATTTCTTCCAATTTCATTTAAAATTTCACAATATATCTACACGTCAAGAATACATGCTTACTTTGTTATTAAAAAATTGGACAGAAATTTGATCGTGTTCTTGAATTGTGAGGACATCAAACTACATCAGTCAAATTGTCATAATTGAAACTACAAGTACCGAAGTGAAAAATGTGACAAATTACATAAAGCAAAAGTGATGTTTTGCCTTTATTTTCTTGTATGTAAACGCACCGTTTCCTGTCTAATGAATGGATAGTTGTTCCTTCCCTCGTCAAGTCCCCGCTAACCGAAGATTTTTTCCCTCTTATCAGTTCTGGCCTCCAAACCCAACAAAACAGAGCAGAACTCAGCAGTTCATGGCTACTTCCAGACTATAGAGACCCAAAAAACAGCACAAAAGGCTGCAGAGATGGTTCTTCTTCACCTCCCAAGAACTCACATATCTCTCTGCAACCATTTCTCTCTCTTCTCAAAACCCAAAACCCCCACCTTCAACATCGCCACCACTCTCCACCCAATCCTCACCTCCAAACTCTTCTCCGCACCCAAATCGGCCCTCTCAGCCTCAGAGCCCATCCCCATTTCCCAATTCCCCGGAACCCACGTCGAAATTCCTCAAGAATTCGAGACCCCCATCGAAATCCATCCAGAATTCGAAACTCACATCGAAATCCCGCTCGAGAAGCTCTTCGTGCCTCCTGAAACCGCGGTCAAGTACACCGACACCGGTGCTCTGAGCACGAGAATCTTGAAAGGGTCCAATATTCTGCTCAGCAAGTACGCCAGAGACGCTCAGGTGAACCAAGCCGAGTTTGTGAAGAGCAGTGTGAGGACTGAGGATTGCCCTGCTGACGGTCTCCCTGAGTTTGCTCTTGTGGGTCGCTCCAATGTCGGGAAGTCCTCTCTGCTCAACTCGCTTGTGCGCCGAAAGAAGCTCGCTTTAACCTCCAAGAAACCTGGTCAGTATTATTTACCCTGTGAATTCAATATTTTCAATTTTTCATTTTGGGCTGGTTTCATTGTTCTAAGTCTTATGCTTGTTGTTGGCACTTTTTTATTATGGTGAGGAAAACCCAACAAGGAATAGTGTTTTTTGTTAATTGGTTTGGTTGTTTGATGAATTTTTTGCCATAAAATTCAACAAATTTATGGACAGTGTTGTTGCTTTGCTTTCTTGTGTTGTCAATGTGTTAGGTTAGTTTATATGAGTTACCTTAATCTTTGCATCTAGTTTAGTAGGTGGTAATGAATGGCATTGTGGCGTTTTGGTATTTGCATTGACAATGCATTCTAGCATCTTGATTTGTAATTCACTACTCAGATCATTCTTCTTCTTTTTCTTTTTTTTTTTGCAGGGAAAACACAATGTATCAATCATTTTCGGATCAATGATAGCTGGTACCTGGTGGATTTGCCAGGCTACGGGTATGGCTGAAAGCTATGTATATTTGATTTCTGTGGTCCTTTTTTGTTCATTGAGAAGATGTGAAGAAGTAATGTGACACTTTGGATGATTGTTATAATGAAAGATTTAAGATTTGTGAGAGCTGTGAGAGCTGTGAGGGCGTGCAGCTTTATTGCTTGTTTCAACAAGGGACTTCTGATTTCTCCCTTATGCTTGTTTCAAACTGATGGTCTTATCTTTGTGCATTGTGTATCGTGAGAGCTGTGAGGGCGTGCATCCTTATTGCTTTAGTCTCTTCACAGTTTGCATTAATCTAGGATTCGGAGTAGGTCACAATGATTATGTTCAACAAGAAACTTCTGATTCTCCCTTATGCGTGTTTCAAACTGATGGTCTTATCTTTGTGCTTTGTGTAACCTGAACAGGTATGCAGCTGCACCGCAAGAACTTAGAACTGATTGGGTGAAATTTACTAAAGACTACTTCCTGAATAGATCAACGTTGGTTTCGGTTTTATCTGGAATATGCTAGTTGGCTGGGTCAGAATCAGGTAATATCCTTTCTTTACACTTATGCTGGTAAATGATTATATGGGGGAACATAATGACTCAAATTGAATAATTGTAGCTGTCCAGGCACTTTTCTCATTGACTACATTTATTTCTTATTTTTTGTTCGTTATGATGAAACATACATGCTTGTTCTAATTTTAAGTTTCCTCCCAAAATTCAACTCGCCGAATAAAAAGTTTCATCGTTTTTAAGATGGGAATGAGGGCATGTCCTTTGGCTGGCTGTAACTTAATATTTGTGAAAAGGAAATAGATACGTTCTTGAACCTGCTTGCATATGCATCTTCCCCGCTTTAAAAGAGATGATGATCAGAGGTGACTATATGCTCTTTCAGATTCCTATGACTTTGATATTCACTAAATGCGACAAGCGGAAGAAGAAAAGGCATGGAGGAAAAAAAGCAGAAGAAAATGTGCAGGATTTCCAGGAGTTAATAAGTGGCTTCTTTGAGACAGTGCCGCCATGGATTATGACCAGCAGCTTAACCAATCAGGGTCGTGACGAGATGCTATTGCATATGGCCCAGCTGCGGAATTACTGGCTCAAGCACTAGGAAAACCAGAATCATGCCTTTCTACCCTCGAGTAGGTATGTTATCAGAGTCGTCGATGCATGGGAGTACAAGAAGCATCAAGAGATATTGTCATCTGCTAAACCCTAAAGCTTTGTAATTCGCCTAAACACGAATTCCTCAAAATTCCTCAAATTTGGCAACCGCACATTCTGACGGAGAAAGGGGGAGGAAATGTGCTCATTTTGTTATAGCATTGTAGACCAATTTTGTTCTTGTTGAAATGAAAATACGGGTTCTTGGTGATTCTGTTTTCGTACTGTAAATCTGCTGAAAAGCATTATTTAAGTTCAGATATCAGAATCTGGTAGCTCAATTCTTTTCCCTGTGCTGCGTTTTTTATACTGATTCTGTGCAAACCCTTTATACAGATTCTATGCAACAGTTGGGTAGAACCGCATGAACTTGTTCATAATTGCGGACCATAAACGTGAAAAAAATTTGGGAAATTTTTCTAGCAACCAACAAGCACAATAAGAGGTAGATTTAACAAAGTAATTTCCATTCAGTATCAAAACTAACTCTTCAACAACACAAGGAGCAATTGACATTATAACGATCCAAAACTTGTTTGAGTGAAAATTCAAGACTATCAAGACAACAAAACGAAAATAAAAACCATAACAACGCAAATGCTGGGTGGGTGGGCTCTGAAATCTTATGAAGCAGCAGCAGCAGTTCCCTTGCGCCTTGGAGCAGCCTGTGTGCCTTCTGTGAAGTTGCTCTTGAACCTCCTTGGAACATTGCGAAGGTACCTCATACGCCCAGTTCCGGTCGTCTTTCTGCGCAGCGCCTTCTCACTCCAATTGTCTGAAATTGGCAGAGAGTTCATCAAAATTCAAATTTGCATAATTAATATCAAAATTCAAATTTGCATAATTGCATACTCATTAATAATTCAGAAAATTAAAATAAAAAATAGAGAATTTGGGTACATTTTCTGAGGCGGGCTGCGGGGTAAGCACAAGCTGAGCAACGACTCTTTTGGAGGTGGAAGCTTCTGCGTCCGCATCGCACACACAGCGTGTGGGTCTTGTTCCTTCTCTTTCCGAAGCTGCCTGTTCCTTTGCCCTAATTCATATTCCCAAATTCGCACCATTTTAATGACAAATATAAATGAGACGATGTCAAAGCAAGAGATAGGGAGTGAGAGAGAGAGAGGGGGAAAGAGAAAGATCAGAGAGAGTACCATATCTTCAGTTGCAGAGAGAAACCCTAGATTCGGAGTTGTTGCGGGAAAATTCTCGCGGACAAAGAGTTAGCGATTTATATAGTCATCATCTTCGGCTCGATTAGGGTTTCTCTTCAATAATTGGGCCCAAAAGATTTCACAGGCTTCACATTTAAGGGGCCCACTAGCCAGGTCCAATGAAGCCCATTTTATAATATCGCGTTCCAAAGCCCTGGCAAAGCGTAATCGGCCATTAAATCTATACAGGAAATACGTAAACTAGCAAATAAATAAAAAAAAGAAGTTCACCAAAGACATCTGCGGGGATAGCTCAGTTGGGAGAGCGTCAGACTGAAGATCTGAAGGTCGCGTGTTCGATCCACGCTCACCGCATTTTTGTTTCATTTTTAACTTATTTATTCTGAATATCTTTCTTTAAGACCTATTTCTTCTGAATTTCTGCAAATAATTTTTCCTTTTTAACCTCTTTCTTCTCAATTCCTGCAAATATATTTTCCTTTTATTGTATACTTTGGCACATGCGTTTATTTATTTATTTTATTTTTAGAATTAAGATATTATATAGTTAGTTATGTTCCATAAAAGAATGACTTATTATATGATTTTATTTTTAATTTTAATTTTTTTAATATACAAAACTGTGAATTTATCATATTATCTTCATTTAATTAATAATTTTAATTCTTAATGTTTAAATTAACTAAGGGCATTTTATGATATTTTGAATGTTTCATCATTCTTTGCCTTTTGCTTTATATATACATAGAAGAAGAAGAAAAAAAAAACAGTTCCACAACCTATTGTGAATACATTTTTCCTGTTCATTGTAAACTGAAAAGCATATGCAAAGATAATTGCCACATCTCATCCTCATGAATGCGGAGAAAAAGTGATGTAAGAGCATTTCCACCAGTTAGCCCCTTGCCATGGCAATCTGAGTTCATGATCTTATGTTCTTCTCATTAGGATAAGATCGGAG